TTTTATTTGTGCAAGTCGTTACAAAAGGTTTCATTATCTTTCCCTGTGTACTTCAGATCTTTGTTCTTTTTACAGTGTGATTATCCCATTGCAACGGTAAATGTGCATTCTGCCTAGGGCATAAAAACGAGCCAGATGTTCAAAAATCTGGAAACAAAGTGATCCCTCGGAAGCATTAATCACAACAAAATTACAAGAGAATTGCAGACTCGGTTTGATTGAGTCTGTACATGAGGCCATCTTTAAAAAATTATTTGTTTGTAGTGCTCCGACCCTGATCTCTAGAGGTGGGTAGGTAGGTATTTTTTTAAAATTTTTTTTTTGGTGGAATATCATACGATAAATTATAAGCAGTTTGCAACCCCTGTGCAACATTTTCGTGTATTATTATGCTATGCATCAAACAAATATTTAATAGAATAAAATATGACTTAAAAATGCAAATTTTTGTGTGTGATTTATTCCAAATGTGAAAGCTATTAAGTATTTTCAATGTCTGAGACTGACTGTTTCTTTCTTTTATAATATGTGAAATCAGTTTCCAATATTGAGTTCATCCTTTAGTTTTCACTACCTTCTCTATAGCATCATCCTGAATTAAGTTTTTTAACTTGAACATGACACACAGTTTGTTTTTAAAAACACACAATACTGTACAGTTTTACTTAAACACTTTACTATTCAGTTTAATATTAACAGAAAAAGTCACATGCATCATGTCAGAATTAGTTTTTCTTTGGGAGTCTTTTGATGACTGGTTTCCCAGAAGCTACACAGTTAGTACACATGGGTAGAACAACTCTATAAGCCTTCATCACATCAGCATCTCTTGCTGCATCTTCGTCTGCACAGTAACAACACAGATCTTTGCGTGTGATGTGGGTTGCTGAATAGTATGCCAGTTCAATACGAGTTGTGCAGCACATTTGCAATCTAACAAAGACCACTTCTTGTAATCCATCACCTTGAATAAATGTTTTCATATTTTATTTTGATTTTAAATTGTTATGAAATGTTCAATTAACCTTACTAAGATATTTGTAATGGTTGTGTCTTGTTCTTTATATCAAAACATAAAACTTGAAACAAAAAGTATACAGTCATAAATGATAAACAGGAAACAGTATGATATTAATACTTGGTTTAACAAGGCAAATGAAATTACAGATGCAACAGATTAATTTATCTTTTAGAATTCTGTATGTATTACAGCATTGAAGTAAACTTAGTACAAGTAAATATTTATAAACTTGGACAATTTTAATTTATAACCATACCATCTGGAGTAATAACTGAGCCACATGTATATGTATATTTCTCCAACAACCTACGTAGACATCTTTCTTCGCGTAAAGTCTACGCCTTCTTTCTGTAAATACACCTACTTCCCACATTCGCAACAGTTCACTGTAAATCTTACATTTTGAGCCACAAGGACTCTGTTAGGACAACCCTGGAATTTGAAGAAATAAAAAGAATTTTAATAAACATATTTTCTTTACACTGTCAGATAAAAAATAAACTGTTAAGAAAATTCTAAGGTAGTTAATTAAAGACATTTTAAAGTCATGCGGTGACCTTCTAGCTTTACAGGTGGAGGGATATCTCAGGCGCACTTCTGTACATAATTTCATGCATGTGAGAGTAGGCAAGTTAGAAGTAAGAAGTTAATGTATGCTATCATATAAGCCCTTCACAGGATTGAATCATTAAGTTGCTGGAAGGATTCAAACACCATCAAAGAGTGGCACTTAATAAATGCTGGAAAGCAAAAAACCTTAACCTTTCAGCCACAGATGCCAACTCTGTGTGAAAGTATTGAAATGATTATTAAACAATTACATGTTGTTCTTTATTTAAATACCTGATGATCTTCAGCCACTTTTGCTACCGATGCGATGGAGTCTGACCAGATGGCATGTCAGTTTCTGATGTCTTCTTCCCAAGAACATCACTGAATGGCTTATTATGATCTCGGTCGTCTGGCTTAATCTCAGGATCTGGCAAGAAATGGGGTACTTGTCCTATATTGTTTCTGAATGGTGGGCAACAGGTAGCTTCATGACATTTCCTCACCTTTTAAAATATTAATATACATGCAAAAATATTTGTCAAAATAAGCTGCAAAAAAGTATAATGATATAAGTATTATACATGTTATAAATTAACACAAGCTATTTTAATATTGATAGACAATTTCAGATTTAAACATTTATTAATATATGCCTAAAATCACTGAATTTTTTTAGGCTGATATTGTTATGCTAAATGCTGCCTTTAATATTAAATTATAATTTCTTACACAATTTTGGATAAAATTATTGACATGTTAATTGTTAGTCTATTAAAGTTAATTAATAATTTATATCATGTTTTATGCTGTTACTATAAAACTCATCCTAGTAAACTAATATTAATGAACTATTTACAACCATCACCGTTGAAAATGAAAAGGTTTAAGTATAGAAGAATATGCTGGTGTTACAAATACTAGACTAAAAAAATGTTTTCTAGTTGGGTGGTTCCAATATTCCTACTTGAATAATGTTGAATCACCCTTAGGATATGTTGCCTGCTTTTTAAATTTGTATTTTGACGTCTTATCTGTGATATGCAGGCTTCATAACCTCTGATCCCCTTTCAAAATTCCATTTTGTTTAGTTCCGCCCATTGTTTTCTCGTTTAGGGCACACGCTTTTTATTACTTGGGGACCATACGCCGATTTTCATGGAATGGCACGGAAGTGTCACATTGAAGGTTCCATGATAACCGCCGTATGAACACATCTGCGGATGTTTCTAAATTCAAAATTTTACTATTTCATGTTTAAATGTTGAATTCTGCTTAAGCCGGTGCTAGGGGGCGTGGACGGTAACTTGCATTTTCCAGTACCGTCCATGAACAGGCTCAATCAAACCGAGCCTGCAACATTTTCAATTTTGGCGTGTTGGGCTTTCTTTAGGGATTCTGTATTTATCTATTTTGCGTTTAATAGGAACATGTTTTGTATTAATTAATGCATTCTGATAAGGAACTAAGTATTTAAGCTAGTATATTCAAAAAGAAACAAAGCAAAAATAGTATATTAGTACAGGAAGAAAACAGAGAGTATGAAATATACAGAGTAAATTTATGTTTGTCTGATTGAAAAAAATATTGGAATATAAATTATTCATAAAATATTCACACATTTTTAAATATTCATTTACTAAGTATATGCCTAAATCTACATTTATATTGTACTCTGCCACATCATCTTACACACCATTTAATACTTACACTGAATCCATATTATTTCCTGTAGACATGAAGATATTAATACTTTACACAATAATCAAACAACTTTTTAAATACATTTACTGAGATATCTATTAATATACAATAAAAATTCTGACAAATCATTTAATGTCTGTGAAACAAGCAAACTAAATTTTGACAACAATTCATTTTGTATGACAACTATAGTTTCAGTCTCACATCAACTTCAATGTGACCTAAAATGATTTAGTTTAATATTATACAAAATTGATTTCTGTCAGGACAGTTTTCGGTTTTAAAGTACGATCAAGATTAAGTAACAAAAGAATCTGACACACATTTCTATATTATTAAAGAAGAAAGAGATCAATATAAATGCTGAGAAATGTTTACCTGAAAGATATAGTTTCTCTCATGACAGTGTTTGTTCATAAACTCTTTGTATCCATCATTGTTCTTTAGATCATTCTTTGTGTATTTCCGTACTGTTATATCTGGGTCCACTAACCGACGTACATTTAATTCGAAGTCAGAAATTTCTTCATCTGTTGCTGGAACACCCCTCTTGAAAGATTTCTCTTTTAGCTGTATACGCTCGGTCCTTTCATCCAACAGATTTATCATGGGTTCCACAGCTTTCAACCAGGATTTTTTTAAGTGAGCTTCATTCTCTGCCTTTTTTCGAATATCAGACATAGATCCACAGGACTTAAGCATCTGTTCATTATGACTACTCATTTCAGATCTATAAAGTGCCACATTCTGGTATGCAAGATTTAACAGACTCATAATTCTCTCTGCTGGGTTAACCCAGGAGTGACCTGGTGCAGTTCTAGCAGCAATTACTATGTCTAAGTCCAAGAGTTTGAACAAGATAATCAGGGATAGTTTCACTGCTGAATAAGTAGTCCGATGATCTGGACCGCCATCTGTGAAAAGAAGTAAATATGGATTTAGACTGTCCTCATTGGTGGGTTTCAAAATTTTCATCAATTCAGTGGCATGCCTAAATGGTGAAGAAGGTTGAAAAATATTGTCCTTCAAAGTAGCATGTACTTGTCCTCTGTAAAAACTTTCAGTTGCATCATTCGGAATATCTATACGCAAACATACCGATGGTGTTAAGGACCCTTTTGAGCCTACATCATGATCAAGCGCCCCTAATACTGATGAACATGGCACAATGGATTTTGCCTCGAACTCCTGTTGATATTGCCGTCCCAGGTTCCCCAAAATCAACTTTTGACTTGTCATCCAAGCAAAGAAATGTGGTGCATTCATTGAACATAACAGCATATTGTTTTAAGTAGTTAAAAATTGCTGATTGCTGCACAATAATGTTCATCAACATGGGAAGCTGGTAGTTGCCTAGTTTGTACTTTATGTTGCAAGTTTATACGCCCTTTATAAAGTTTGGCAGTGTTTGTGTACGCATTTTTTGGGACAAAAGCAAAGAGAACTGTACTTTCAGATGGTATAGGCGTGCCTTGTGGACATTTGTTTGTTGTTTGATCAATCAAGTCTCTCACTGATATGTACTTGCTAAAATGCTGCACTGTTTCATGCCGGCGCTCATCTGTAGCTGTAACAGAAGCAACTTCTTTCTCAAGTTGTTCAAAGAATACATTAAATGTATCCCTAGGTCTACCATTATTTAAAGATCTAAGATCAATAGCCAGGTCAGGATCACTTGTAAGTAAAGCTTGACGGAGACGTGCATCAATAGCAGGCATGCTGTTGCATCCCCGGGAGATGCTTTGGTAGTTTAGCGCGGAGGAAGGTAGTCTAGTACTGGTGTAACTCTCCAGGAACGATGGTTAGGAAACTACCCGCCTATATGACTGAAATACTGTTGGGAAAAGGCGTAAAATGAAACAAACAAACAAACAAAAGCATCTAAAGTAAAATTAGAGTATATTGCCCTTAATATGTGTTGCGGAATATCAGCAATACCTTGGTATGTTTTAACGAAATCCTTTCTCATTTCCCTAGTGTGGTACTCTGGGAGTCTCTTCTCTATACATTTGAAAACTTTTGTTGATGAATTCATCATCTCAATAGGAGAACGATCCTCTGGAACCCGCCAAATAAACACAGTTTTACCTGTTCCTGCTCCAGGGTCATAACTCAACATATCAACTGGAAATGTGAGAGCTAAATCATCTAAAAACCTTCGTCTTTGGAACTGATCTTTGAAAGGCTGTTTAACATACAGCCCTTCATCAAAATAAACGGGCAAATAGACTTCAGTTCCTTTTAAAATTTCATCTAATAAACTGTAAAATTCCTTAACTGGGCCATTACAACTAGGAATGTCTTTAATACTTGCATGATCCCCACATGGTCTAGCTGGGTGTAACAAGGATTGTCTATACTTCTGCGTTTCATTACTTTTCTCCAGGTATAAGGCATATGACTGTAGGCTGGGTCATGTGGGGGTTGCGTTCATTGAACGCCGCCTTTCCTTGTTGATCTTGTTTATCATATTTTAAAGCAAAATAATCATCTAACTCCTTTGAAAAACATCCCCATGACTTGGCAATGGTTGATGAAAATAGGTTAAAGAAAAGAGTAGCATGTTGTTTTAGATCAGAAGAAGATACTTGTTGTGCTGCCTTGCGTTTCTTCTTATAGTCATTGTATCCAGAATACTTGGTGAACCTAAGAATAAAGAATGCATGGATTAATATTTAATATTGAAGTATGTGTATACTTGGGTGATACAGAATTCTAAATTTACAACATTTTTTTAAAAGATGTGATTTTTGACATTGAATTTAAGTATTACTTAATAAAGCTGAACATATTCCTATTTTATTTAATTAACACAAATTATATTCTTTTTTTGGTGTTCAAAGTTCTTACAATATAAGCAAAAGACATTATTTACCGCTCGGGTATGTTCTTGTCTTTTTCTAGTTTGCGATTTATTTTTCATGGTTACCATCTATATACCACAATGCATCTACAATCACCATCACACGACGTGTTATTTCACTTGTTGCTAGAGAAGCTGGAAATTCTATCTCATGTGCATCTTCAATCAGATCATTATAGAGTCTGCTTTTAGCTATGAATAGAAACATAGATATTTAAAAAAATTACTTATTGCCATATGTTAGGATTCACTGTTCAATGTATGTTTAATATTTAATATATATTTGATATAACATTTTTCATTTTTTAAATATGTTTTATTTATTAAGCTTAACAGCTTCTGGATCAAGGCTATGAAAAGCATCAATATATTATATCATATTATAAAATTCAGCTGACATTTATTTTCTATAACAAAAATTAATCCTTCCTATTTTAATAAAACACGTCCTAGACACTTAACTAGAACTGCAACTGCTTTTCTATCTGTATCATCTATTAAATTAACAATGATGTCTGAGACAAATAAGAATTAAACATATTTACTAACTACTATCCGCCCCTTTACAATAAAAGTTAATACTAAACACCTTATATTAAAAAACAAAATTTTATTTAGACAAATACCTGTAAAGTTAGACTTTTCATCCGAGAGTTTAGGAGGCTTTATTTTCAATGTTTGTGATGTCATGAGAATAGTGAAGGCATTGTTGTCCGTAGCACTAGTAGATGGCTCATCTTTTGAATGTGTTGTCAACTCAGTTTCAACATCAATTGTTACAAATTTTAATGATGGATCAGAGTCAGTTAAAATTTTAATTTGATCATAGGGACTAGCATCAAAAGTTTCTGTACCCATACTCTTCTGTACAGAAATGTGCGCTGCCTTTTCAAAATTATCTAGAACATTTTGAGGTACATCTAGTCCTTCTGCCGTTATATCATAAACATCAAACCATGTGTCATGGGAATTATATTTCCTAAAAGCATTTTTTAAGATACAAGATTTACTCTCTTTACTTTTGTTTACGAAATTAATTGTCACTGAAAAGATTACATCTTGTTGTTGACAGGTGGCTGCTATTTTGACGATAATGGCCGTGTATTCCGATTCTGTTTAAACAACAGAAAGAAGAAAAATTACCAAAAAGTATTTTTTAACCGAAAAGGATAAAAATCGGCAAAAAAAAAAAAAAATAGAGTCGGACTATTTTGATGGGTCGGTCGGAGCACTAGAAACAAACAATTTTTTATGGATGGCCCGAGGGATAATGAATAAGTGCAACATCCCTCAAGTGGACGAATTGATTGTCGATTGGACAATCCAATAATTATTCTTTGAAATTTTGAAAAAAGAAACAACAAACAAAACAACTTTATTTAGGCATTAAAGCAAACCATTTAAGCATGCTTTAAATATCTGGATATTTCTCCCTATTAATTAACACGTTGTTACGTACATATGCATGTACAGAGTTATTGCGCCAATATTAGCGTCACGTTTAGCGTGACGCGCCATTTTATATGTTATTGTATTGACGTCATTATATGAGTTGACTTCCGGTAATCAATAATAAAACAACGTTATTGAAGAACCAGTGCAATTTTTTGATTATTAAGTGTTTACACAACATTTTGGTCCCGCGAACCGGATAACACTATGACAACAAAATTACGTTCTATACAGAAGGGTCACAAAGGCGCAGTTACACGACTCCTGATCAAATTCGATGCAACTCAGCGTGAAGCAGCCGATCACGAGGAACTTGTGACGATCATTGACTCACTCAAACAGATACAGCAGACGATCACGGAGATTCACGAAAAGATCCTTGATTATTTTCAAGACGAAGAAGAAGAACAAATAGAAACAGAAATTCTTGAGCATGATGAGTATATATACATGTTAAAGACCAAGATACAGAAGATACATGATTTTAGGAAGGTATCAATTTCAAATTTGAACTACAATTTCCCAGCTCTAAACCCTAACGCTCAGCCATTTCAAGCGTCCGTATCAAGCGAAACATCCGAGATTTGTGCGCCAGGTATCAGCGAGAATACTTCCCATATGCATTTCTTACCGTCCTTATCTCAAAGCTCAGTATATCACAAATTACCAAAGTTAGATTTGCCGAAGTTCGACGGAAATGTCCTTGACTGGTGTTCATCCTGGGATTCTTACGAGTCTGCTATACACACGAATCTTTTACTAAGCGGAGTACAGAAATTCAATTACTTGATGTCGTGTCTTAAAAATGAAGCTTTGCAAACAATAGCTGGATTTGCCTTGACTAATGTTAATTATGAACAGGCTATTTCATTGTTACATGAGAGATATGGTCAAAAGGACAGAATTATACAAACTTACATGAAAGCATTACTAGAAGTTCCAGCACCCAGTACACTGTAAAGGGTGTTAGAAAATCCTATGATACAACAGAGAAATATATCAGAGCATTAGCTTCACTGAATCAGAATGAGACTTCATACGGTTCACTACTTACACCTGTTATCCTTAAAAAACTACCGCCAGAGGTCAGAACAAACATTACACGTGCGCACGGGATACAGTCGTGGTCTTTGTGTGGATTGATGAAATGTATACTGAATGAAATCAATATTTTAGATGCTGGAAATTTGCTGAATACCCCTCAAGATTTAATTCCGACAGCAACGTTTTTAACAAAATCTGATTCCAGTAAGCCGGAAAGAAAAAATACATCCATACCAGGCAATTTACGACAACATAGACAAAGATGCGTGTTTTGTAAGGGAGAGCACTCTTCTATAGACTGTGCAAAATCTAAAGATTGTGAACAGGGAATGAAGATAGTGAAGGAAAGAAGGTTAGTTTTAATTGTCTGGGAAACCACAAGATTACAGACTGTCTGTAAGTCTAAATTCAATTGTACAATATGCTCACGCAGACATCATACTAGTATTTGTGGAGTAGAAATAGCAGCTAAATCTACAGATAAGTATCCTGTTATCAACAATGAGAAAAAGAACTCCACTTCGGTATTACATTCTGCTCACTCTACCACACCAGGTCCTGTGTTATTAAAGACAGCAGTTTCTATGTTAACCTCAAAAAGTACCTCCATTTCTGCCAATATCCTTTTTGATGAAGGTTCACAGAGTTCATTTATAAGTAAACACCTAGCCCAAAAATTACAATTGGGGCCCACCGGAAGTGAAACATTATACATGTCTGGTTTCGGAGACACAGAGCGTCGCGTGCGACATTTAAGCAGAGCTACCGTGTATTTAGAAACACCAGAAGAAAATATTCCCATAAAGGTTTTGATTATTCCTGAAATTTCCACACCACTGAAATCTCATCACAAACATGCTGGTCACCTTTCTTATCTGAAAGGGCTCAAACTCGCACATCCGGTCTCAGAAGATGAAGATTTTGATATCGAGATTCTTATTGGTGCTGATCATTACTGGAACGTAGTACAAGATCAAGTTATTACAGGTGACGGGCCTACAGCAATACAATCTAAAATCGGATACCTTTTATAAGGACCATTGAAAACTGATACTGATACATCGATTCCCATCTCTATAATTAACGTTATGACTGTGATTACGCAAAATGAACTTAAAGTAGTGCATCTCAAAATAAAAGAGTCAGTCGGAGAAGGACATAAGCCAAACCAACAATTATGCTACGAGAAAACACGCGAATATTCAGAAAATAGCATTACGTATAGTAAAGAAAATTATGTTGACAATTTACCACAGAAAGATGACCATTACATTTTATCAAGAAACGAACATATAAGTCGACCCAGACCTATGCCCCACCCTCCTGATAGAAAAGTCTCGGAAACAATATGTGTTATAAATGACCGCAAACTTATCTATACATTCATGTACACAGATCTCAGAGACCCATCTCATCTACTATACGGACGAAGGATTACCTCCCCTATTTATGCAGACGACAGAGATCCCACAACAAGAATCGGCCGGTAAATTGTTCAGATTTAAGACTGCAACGCTTGATCATTTTTGGTCAAGATGGAAACACGAATACCTCACATCGTTGCGAGAGTTTCACAGAAAATCTGGTAACCATGGTGACAATATCAATGTTGGTGACGTGGTTCAAATACATGACGAGTATTTACCAAGGAAGCGCTGGTCATTAGGAATTATAGAAGATGTAGTAACTGGCGGTGATGGACATATAGACCCTTCTTAATATTACCTCATACATATTCATAGATTTCTCAGAACGAGGCTAACAGGGCAAGCTTCGGTATCTGCTCTATGTAAACATATCAGGAATATATGGCCGAAATATTTTTCTACTGTGTCAGAGATCTTGATAATGTTGTGTTTGCTACATACTTGTTGAGAACTATATTTAATATTACAAAAATCTCTTCTGGAGATAAAAAAATCAACAAAGGGTTTAATTTACACTATATACAGTGAAGGATATACAAATTAAAGTTTATGATAATTCCAAGTAATTGTTAGTATAAATATCAGGTTAACTCTTTGCAACTTAAATAGACATTATCTGCGTTATCAGTATTTTATTGCTAACCTAAACACATGTTGGTCAAGAGTGTATAAAGCAATTAACTGATAATAGATGCTGAATTCTGTACCATACTTCCCCTAAATTTAGCTATTGAAATAAAAAAGTTTTAAAAAGTTTTATTCATTTGTATTTAAAAGTAAAAAATTCTGGATGACTCTCTAGAAACTGGTTAATTTTACAGACAGCCTTATCAAATCAAAATTATATTTTGTTTAAACATGACACCCCCGTCTTATACATTTCAATGTATTTTCAGTATCATAACACATGATATTGTTTACAGCAATGTAAAAATACATTTCATGCTGAGTAAGGAACGTAAAACTTATATATTATCAACTATTTAATTAATTACAGTATAAAATATTTAGTATATAACGAAATACAATCATGTTATTGCAAATATCAGTCAATTTATTAAGACGAAGCTGAAGTATCATTAGATTATTGCACTTGTCCAGTTGGTCCGACTTGATTATGTGGTCATATTGTTGGAACCCTCTACTGGCTGGTATATAACAAATCATTGGGGAACACGGCACTTCCAGAGGATGTTGCCTGGACTTACCAACCCCAAATATTCCATGTACTTAGGAGACTGAACATTCGCAGAAAACCTGTGCAATACCTTGCAGTTGGAGGGTATTAGGAAAGGCAGCATCGATTTTTAGCACTTACTTTAACATTACAAGAAATATTCTCTTAACAATATAATACAAAAATGGGACAAAATATTAAATGTTATTAACATTTTTACATATTCCCTGCAGCTGTACCATATATGTAACAAAGCACAATGTTAAAAACAAAGTAATGCGATGATTTCTTTTTAAGTTTTTATTTAAATTCAATGCGCAAAAGACTGAACAAATAGTCCTTTAAAATATGCTAAAAAACATTTTGTCAGTCAAGCTGATTATTTTGCTTGCATCATAATAAACGCTCTTAATGTCTTTGCTGATGTTTTATAACATTGAAAACTGTAATGAATATATATAAATTTTGTTGGAAATCATGTATAACATTACAAAATATACTCCGTCAACATTTGAAAAATTTGTTTGTATCAAACGTTCAATATATCTGTTTGTTTTCTTCCTTAGTTTTCTGTAATTCTTCTTTGAACTGTTTGATAGTTTATGCCACTTTATTGAAGAGATATTACAATTAAAGGCGATTCAAATACCAATTGTCAATTTGTGTTCATGACTGTTACCAGTGGAATTCCTGAAAAATATATACATTTTATTTAGAAGTGGAAACAAGAATTATGACATTTCTAGAATATATCAATTTATATTTTAATTGCACATATATTTTTTTAGAGGGGCTGAACTTTGTTTATGTGTAAACAATGAAAATTAAGTCTTGTGTATACCTGGAAATGAAATCTTCTTCTTTAGTGTTCATCTTACTGGTCTGTTCATTATTACTCCAGTCGAGCCATATACAGGGTACATCTATTTTCTTCAGACATATATGAATTTATGTCCATGATTGTTAATCTTATTGTGTGAAATGCTTCAAAACGAGCAACTATTGCAAAATATTGATCTGAAATAGTACATAAAAAAACCGTTTT